ATTTCGTCAAAGATTAATACGGCGTCGCCAGAATAGATAATCCTTTTTGGATGACTTCAATGTCCGTCACTCGTGGTGGAAGCAAATTTTGTTTGTTTGTACATTTTTCATGATATCATCCGTTTGCAGCCTACGAAATATATTTTACATTCAATAGAGTTATAACATTAATTTCTGGGTAAGAGGGTTGGCTAAGTTTCGTCGGGTTGTGTTAGAAGTATTCATTTTTGGAAAACTGTGCCCAAAAGTTCGATAGTTACGATGATTATGTGGCAAGTTGCGGCACCCTGTTGAAACCAGATGTCGTCTGTGCCATTCTCAACTTCCGGAAAGAAAAATCCGTTGGCCATATGACACGGTAGGTGACGCTTACCAATGGCTGAAACGTTGGTTCCTTGCTCATTTTCAAAGAAAAATAGCGCAATGACGTCGCCTGACGAGAACCAAACAGTTACTCGTTATGGATGCATTGGTTTCAACTCGACGTCGCATGATACCTCTTCCCCAAATAAAGCAAATTTTGCTGATTCACATAGCCTTTGAGGTGAAAGTGAGCATTTTTACAGATAAAAATCTTCATTGGGCGAACACAAACATTATCGGATGGTCCCAACGAATTTGAATCGATTAGGATTAGCCAAGACTGTACATATGTTTGGATTGCATTGTTTGTCGCCAAAATTGTGTAGTAGTGTAGTGACGGTTTTCATACTCAAATCTACTAGTTTTCAAATGCAGCTAGCAGAATGGTTGTATGATGAATAAGTTTTGAGAAAAAAAATGAATAAGTCAGATCCGTCATTTCGTGTTGTCAAAAATAATTCTTTAATGATGCGACGGAAGATACGACGAAAAGACCCATACATAATGATTTATAATCAAAAAAAGGGAGAGCGAAGAGTTCTTGTTAATAATTTTTATTGACAGAGGTAATAAACAATAAATATAAAAAATTGACAAAATCTATAAAAAAAGAGTAAACCCAAACCTTATCATGAAGAAAGTCTTCATAATTTTTTTTTATTGCGGTAGTCTTATCACGGGATTTTTGCCATCACATAAAGCAAGGAAGTGATTATATTTTTTTATTAGAAATATTTACTGATGAGGCGTATAGTGGCCTAACTGACATTCCACTATTTGGTGCGCCTCTTTTTAATTGAATAAAATCATACCCTTGTGTCAAATGGCTCGTCTTGGAAAATATTTTATCTTGGTGTTACTTTTTAACCTTAACTTCCATGATGTCTGTCCAGCTAATCGATCTTCCTGAAGCTGTAGTGCGTATGGATAAAATTGTCAAATTTTTAGACAAAGCTTTAAAGTCTCTAAAAGTTAGGGGACATACTTTATAGGGATGTTTCCGTCTTGCCAAATTGATAATCGGTAATAGCTGAGTCGGCTCAGAGATAAATTAAAATTGCATAAGAAATGCGGCTATGGGCAGAATCCCCTTCATTTTGTCCATGGTTTGTAACAGAGAGTCTTAAAGCTATCTCCATCAGTGATGGAGCATACACGAGCATAGCGACAACTATAGTTTTTTTTATTCTGGCTATTGCACCGATCAGAAAATAAAACAACTTTTGTTTTGTCTTGCCTAAAATTTTAAAAGGGCAGGTCGCTACCTCCGAGGGTTCTCTCTTACCTGCTGTTTCATGCCACACAAAGCAATAACAACTTTTACTAGCTAAATCATATAAAGTGAAGTTATGTACTTAGTTGAGCATAATATGGAAATTCTGGTATAACATCATTGTCATTATGACCGATAAAAGGATTTGGAAGAATTTTTAATAATTTGATATTCATAGTCTTTTTTGGGCGTACTGAGCTTCCTCCGAAGAATCCCGTGGCATTGAAATGCGATATTAAAATTCCTACTACTTTTAACGCGAATACCTTTCCTAAGAACTTTTTGATTTAAAAAGTAAATGAAATTAAATTTAAGTTCAGTTTAGTTTCGGTTGAACCCTTCCAGTGTTCATCAAAAATTTTGGTTTTCCAGTATTTTGCATTTTACAATTTTGTTGTTTGTTAAACAATTCTGTTGAAAAACAAGACAAGAAGTGGAACGAAATAAATCAAAATTATATACGTCACAACTGTCCAGGTGAAATCCTAATGCCCTTTCACACTCCCGAAGATTTGCTTTTTTTATTCAGTTTAAACTGCTTTTTACAATCCACTGAATCATTCACCATTTTTGGCAACTGTCTGGAACTATTACATGGAACCCTCCACGTTTATACAGTACCGAGCAAAAGTAGAGAAACAAACCATATTTCAAATAAAAATCGAGAAAGATTTACTCTAACCCAAAACTGTACACTAAAGTTGTTTATGTATGACTACCTCAAGATAATGAAATACTTATCTTTGTATATTTTTTTTTTCAATATAATATGGTCGGTTCGTTGTTCAACGAGCAAAAGTGGAGAAACATTTTGTAAATATTTAGTTTATATTTAGTCGTTGATTAGAATAGGTGTTATTTTTGAGTGTATTTGGTAAAGTGTACTTCAAAAACATGACCAGAGGAATTACATTGAATTTTCAAATAAAAGAATTGATTATTTTAAAATATCGATCAGGCATTAAACAACCAACCATAGCCAAACAGCTAAATTTAAGCCGGTCGGTAATTTGCAAAACTATTAAGCTGTTCCGCCTCAGGGAATCGTTGGTAAGCCCTCCTAAGACTGGTAGACCGCGAAAAACCACACCTAGGATTGATAGGAAAATTAAAACACTTGCTCTTAAAAATCCATTTTGAATAAGTAGGTAAATATTGGTGTCCACACTGTTCGAAGACGTTTAAGGGAGAGTGATTTACCAGCAAGGAGACCCTCTAAAAAACCCTTTATTTCCAAGAAAAATCGGACCGCCCGTCTTCAATTTGCTTACGATCATTTGAACTGGTCAGAAACAAGATGGAATTCTGTATTATTTTCTGATGAAAGTAAATTTAATTTATTTTCATCGGATGGTATTTTATGGGTAAGACGTCCTAAAAACAAGCGATTTGATCCTAAGTTCACTTTGGGCACAATCAAACACAGAGACGGGAAGGTTCATGTATTGGGTTGCTCTGTGGTCTTCAAATGGGACCCATGGTCAAATTTGAAGAAATTATAGACCTGTACAAATACTTGGAAATATTAACTGATACCGTGCTACCTTACGCAGAAGAAAACATGCCTCTACGCTGGCGGTTACACACGACAACGACCCCAAGCACACAGCGAAAATAATAAAAACACTTTTTGCAGATCACAATATTAATGTCATTAAGTGGCCAGCTCAGAGTCCGGACCTTAACCCCATAGGGAACCTATAGGATTTAGTTGATAAAAAAATTCGGACTGAACATCCAGAAAAGTTCAAAAATAGTGCCGAACTATTTGAAATAATCGAAGTCGCCTGGAATTCTATTCCAAACGAAACAATAGATAGCCTAATTGGTTCTATGAGAAAAAGATGTCTAGCAGTTATCAAAAATAAAGGTTATGCAACCAAGTATTAACTTCTTTGTATACGACAATTGCTTTGTATATTATGTTTCTCTATTTTTGCTCGCTATGTTTTCTAATAATAATTGTTAGCATAGTTTTATTAAAGCAGGAATTTTATTTTCATGTTAGCTTTGAATTACATGTTACATTAAGTTATAATAAAACATAAGTTTGTAGTTTACTTTAATAGCTCAATAAAATCTTAAAAAAATAAACTGTTTCTCCACTTTTGCTCGGTACTGTATGTTTTCACCGAAAAATACGAATTTAATGTGAACTGTCAACAACTGGCGACTTAAGTGTGATCGACTTGTAGTAACCACTTGCATCCTGACTACTGACTACGTAACAAATCATATACCTGCACCTTCTACCTAGTCCAAATTCGTTTCAAATACTAAGCGGCCCACTCAATATGTATGTATGAACTACCAAATTATACAAAATGGAATACGAGTAATACCTACAGAGACACATACCGCTGTGCTGGTATGGAGTATGGAGAAACGCCCTTAGATTTATTCCAATAAACCACCATGATATTTTTAACGAGACTGTGAAAGGGGGACAGATTTATAACACGTAAGGTCTACTAAATATCGTCTTCCTGGTTTGGGTGCGTTGATTATGGATTCAAAATCGCCCCGAGAATGCCTGCAGCGTGGGTCTGATACATCTCGCTGGGTCATTACCATGGTATTATGCACCGCCTGCCTCGATCTCGTGGTACCATCATTCATATGCAAAATTAATGCGACAGTTTAATGAACCATCGAGTTATTTTTATCTTCTGGGTCAACACATGTTAACACAGTTTGGGCTAAGTTTAATATTTGAAGTTGGAATCAGATTGCTCGGTTGCGATATGTTTTTACTATAAAGTCGCGAAGACGAGCTCCAATAAAGTAGGAACGTAGAAAGCTTCTTTGCGACGACAACTAGGCTAGTCGGAACATTCGGTCATATTACGGCAGATTATAGGTAGGTCATTAAAAATTCGAAAACATCAAACATTTTTTTTAGGAAAATCTTTCACTAGAAAAGCTGAACCTTGACGTTCAAATCACTGCCACGGCTTACACGATAATACCTCAAGCAATTTGAAAAATATCACAATGACGACTTCGATTTGGCGTTTCAAGGCCTCTGGATGGTTATCATAACATTTATTCTTAACGGCTTCCTACAGAAAGTAGCTCATAGGGTTCAAATCACAACTCCGAAGCGGCCAATCGGCATCAGAATTTCGTTTGATTTTACAGGATGTTCGAAAACGAGGCCCAAAAGTTATTATTAAATTGGTTGTGTTGCAAGCTGCACCGTCTGATTGACATTTGTTTTCTTTTCTGCATTTATAGTAACACTAAGTTTTGCTTCATAACCCATTCCGAAACCTAATTGTAAAAAAGGAAGTCACATAGCCTTCCTGATGTACATATCATAAAACATGCAAAAAATAGATTATCTCATTTTAAAGAAAAATTACGGTTACATTGTTTCTTCGCTAGTGACGTGGGAGGTAAAAATCGGACAATTTTGCCACAAGACGAGGTTTCAGCATCGTCTACAGAGTTGTTGCCTTTTCGCACACAGTGAAGTGATGAAAGGTCCATCTGTAAGTAAAACATACATCAACGGCTGCAACTCTTTCTTTATATTCCCTGGAAAATCTTGAACACGGAAGCATTCCTCGAAGACGTGCCGTGCTAGAAAACAACGAACTGCGTCTGTTTGTCCTGTTCGCATTCCTATTGTTTCATCTGCAACAGAACAGCAATTTACCGGCTTCGGTCTCGTTCTTGTTTTTTTCCTTAAAAGCAATAATATGCTGTGTGTATTATAACGTGCAATTTCTCATTTTCTCGGTAAGCTTTCTGCTACGGTCGCGCACATAGCGAAATATGGATACCAACGGCAGACAGTTAACCTGACTGAGGACATGAGAATATTCCAACATGGCTTGTGATACATGAAAGTATGTACGAGAAGGTTTTATGGGGCCTGTACTGCTATGGTGGTCTGATCGGTCTATGGGACGAGGCATTTGCAGAAGCTGTTGTGGATACAACTAGTAACCTACTGTGACGACAATTGAATCAAGATGCTTATACAGGAGAGAATATAGCAGCAAGTGCTACTAAAGAATATTCCAAACAAGATAAAAGGAGTTATTATTGGTCTTCATAAATTCGGCAAAAGTATTCGAGACATTTTTAAACTTCAGAAGGTATCACTGTCATCTGTACACTACATTGTTGTGAAATTTAAGGCTCAAGGCAAAACATCCAATAGCCGTCGTTCAGGCAGACCCAGAGTTACAACTTCCACTGAAGGCTTAAGCGTAATAGTGAAAAGTAAACGCAATAGACGCATAACTGCACCCGAAATATCACCGTACTTGAATGTGGGCTGTAGTAAACCTGTGAGTGTGACTACAGTTAATATTAGCCCCTTCCCACTTCAGTTGGACCAACTATTGAAATCTTTTTTTCTCTTATCAAACACAAATAAAAATGTAGCACGGTGTTATAGGTTTAAAATATTAACAATGAATATTATATACTAGAACACACCAACTTGATCACTCCCTAATCAAATTTGCAGCATAAAAATAACACATGTTGCAATTACAGCATATCAACCTATTTTAAAATAAGTCTATAACGCATAGGTGGCTGTGAAAAATAAAAGCCATGACAATTGTTTTTATTAATCACAGCTGTCAGAATACGTTTGATTTGAAGTTATTTGTGCGTCGCCCGAGTAAGAAGCTGCTACTCTCGACGAAAAACCGTAAGGACCGATTACAATTTGCACGGTTGCATCCTGATTGAGCATCAGTGACGAATCCAGGTTCAATATGTTTGGATCGGATGGTGTTCATTACGTTAGACGTCCTAGTGGACAAAGATTGAACCCCAAGTACACTTTGCCCACTGTCAAACATGGAGGCGGGTCTGTTACGGTTTGGGGATGCTTTTCGGGGTTTTTGATGGGACCTTTACATATAATAAATGGCATTATGGATAAGTTTGTATACACAGACATACTAAAGCATGTCATGTTACCCTATATGGAAGACAATAATATATGCCCTTAAGATCAACCTTCTAGCAAGATAATGACCCGAAGCACACTTCAAATCTCGCAAAGAAATTCTTTCTGGATGAAAAAATACCAGCTCTCAAATGGCCCTCACAGTCTCCCGATATATTACATTGAAAATCTATGGGAATACTTAGATAAGCAAATACGAGATAAAAATTATTCAAACAAGGATGAACTTTTTGCCGCTTTAGAGCAAAAGTGGAGACAGATTGATGAATCTTATATCAAGAAACTTCTACAATCTATGCCGAGACGATGCCAGGCGGGGATTGATAATAATGATTATGCTACAAAATATTAACACAAACATGGTTGGCTTTCTATAATTCAATGAATTTTGCCTCTTTTTTCTATAATTATTTTGCTTTGTCTATATATTTTTGTCCTTCATAATTCCAGTTTTTTCAATTTTTTTATTGAAGGGAGTCTAATGAATTTATTTATGTATAAGTGAGTATTATGCTATAGCGAATTTTGTATACAGGTTGGTGTATCATTAAAACAAGTTAAAAAAGAAATACAGCACAGTATTAATTTGTCTATATACTTTTGTCCATTACTGTATATATACATATATATATATATATATATATATATATATATATATATATATATATATATATATATATATATATATAACCTTTCTGAGAGTTTGGGCCAAAGTAGCACCCTAGGACTTACGTACTTACAATGCTTTTGATATTGAAATACTTTTTTATGAAATCTATGACTGAAAAATTAGCCTCAGTTAATGTAGGTATAGCAATCAGCTATACCGGAATCTTCATGATTCAATATGTCCTGTACAAAATAATAGTGTGTAGATAAAGTGTCAATGCTCTGAAAAACCTTCCGGATGTTGTGACATTCCAAAATACTTTTTAGGTAATCAAATATCCTAAACAGCCTTAGCGCAAGATAGAAAAAATCGTATTTTCTAAATGCAACACCCTGTATATTTTTGTAAAAAATGGTGACCGCTTTTTTTGCTGATTCCAAAAATTATATGGTCCGTTATACATATTTTCGTTACTTTATCAAAAATTGAAATAATAATGATTTGGTTACTTCTACCACGTGTTTTTATAAGACAAATAGTGCTATTTTTCCAGTCCTCAGCATCTAATAGTATATTCAAAGATGCACCCCAAATGCATCTCACATAAAACAATGGAATCTTCCAACAATACACAGTACTCTGAAAAATTTCATTTCCGTTGCAGTTACTAGAACAAAACGTAAATATTTAGCACATAAATCGTGAGGAAGCTGTGAATCAGAATCGGTTTGTATAGAAAACGTTAACTCTACATCATTAGCGCGAAAGCACTATTCTTTGTGCTTCGACAATCGTATGACGAATTCTCAGATAGTTTGTTGCTGTTTGTTGTTCACACATATAAACAATGGAGGTGAGACTAAACTCAGTTCAGGATTCATGATTGCAGCTTCTCATCTTTTGTACCAATGCTCTTAAAATGGTTCCATTATTTTCACATATTTTAGGTTAAATAGGGCATAATTTGCGATTAAAAATGGCATTTATTACATGAGGATTAAAAAAGGATATAAAGCCGCTATTTTTTGTCAGTTAAATAGTAGTGAGCATTATCAATATTCCATGGAAGATTCTTTTCAAATAGAAAACAGAAAGAAGAAGGACTTTGTTATCCGTTTTGGAATAGCTGAAAATCGGAAAAAATATCACGGCATTGCTTACGCTATATCCAAACATTTATAATAGTATTTTTTATATTCTATTTATTTCGAGCTTCGAAAAATATAGACCTATTAATTCATTCATAAAATCGAAAATAAGACATTCGCCACATGTCTATGGGTTAGGGAAGAGTGCGGGTGTAAACAAAGCATCAAAATGTCTGAATTCGGGGAACGTATGATTTACAAGGTCATACGATTCAGTGAGAGTCGGGATTCGACAGTACAAACATTTCATTTTTAAATACTGTTCAGTGGCGGATTTAAGGAAAAAGGGCCAAGTCGGCAAACAGAGTGCATCATATAAATCAAGTGATAATTCTTAGGTTAATTTGTTTACTTTGTTCGAGTAAAACAGAATATTGTAACTTTGAATCCTCGTCTTATTTTTCGTTCTGAAGGAAAAGTCCTAATTCTCAATAAAGCATTGCGGGCAGTAATAACGATTTCATGAGTTAATAGTGAAAAAAAAAGTTATAAGTCAGATTAGGCAAATAATATACCTATAACTTGGATGTAACTAAAAGGGAGCATAGTATGCTGTCTATAAATTAAAAAAATTACGTATATGTATAAAGTGAACATTGTTCTAAAATCAGAGTCGAAAAGTATTAAAACATCCGACTTGTGGTTAGGGGATAACAACCACTCCACTGGGAACCAGCATAAACATAACCTATACTTACGTATAAAACGAGACATGTATTCTGTCTTGTGGGCTATAATGTTATTTGGATAGTACTGCCTCACCATTATTTATTTCACAAATGCAAAAAAACACTGCGTATAAAAAATAATAAAATTCAAATGACAATTTGCTACGTCAACACGAAAACTCATATGACACATTCGAATTTTGAATGTACTACGTATGCGACGTTGTCAATTGTTGCGGCTTGATAGTCGTCCTAGTAACCAATGATTCTCATCACGTCATACTCGTGTATATATATACATATACAGGGTGTTCCTTAATGATACGCGAATATTTAAGGGAGTGAATCTACATAAAAAATAAATGTTAAATATAAATAAATAAACTATGGTCCAAAAATGTTTCCTTACCAAAACTCGGGGTGTTGAAGTTTTAGAAAAAAAATGGAAATTAATTAATATTTTCAGAACCGCTTCAGATATTTCACTGATATTTAGTACGTAGTGAAAGTTAACAAAGTCGCATATTTTGAATGCAAAAATAATGTTTAGCTTTAACAGTGGCGTGCGTACGGGAATTCAATTATTACATTAATTTTCTCGGACCATAGAACGGTTTTTATTTTTTTTACTCAAAAATGGCGCATCGAAGAAAAACAATTCAAGAGAGATCATTTGTTTTAAATTGAACGAGGAATTCAAAAATAATTTTTATTTGGCAAAAAACCATTGGCGTACAATTTTTTTCTTAAAAAATATCGAAGTCAATACCAGTACGCACGTCACTTTCAAAGCTAAAAATTATTTTTGCATTGAAAACTATGCAACTTTATTAACTTTCACTACGTACTAAATATCAGTGAAATATCTATAGCGGTTCTGAAAATATCAAGTAATCTCCATTTTTTTCCTAAAACTTCAACACCTTGAGTTTTTGTAAGGACACGTTTTTGGATCATAGTTAATAGAGCAAAGTAACAATTTTTTTCATGTAGATTCACACCCTTAAATATTCGCATATCATTAAGGAACACCCTGTATATATATATATATATATATATATATATATATATTACTATGTACATATGAATTTTCCAGTTGTTGACTTATCAACAGGTACTGAATACCAACTAAAGATACAAAAAAATTTCGGAGATTTACTATCCTCCATTGAGGGACATGCAACATGGCAAATTTCCGAGGGGATGTCGACAAATATCCGAATGTAAATAGATAGGTATATATGTTTTAATAGTCGGTGGTTTTGTTTACACTCTATATTGTTTTATTTATTCTGGTTATTTGATATACAATATATAGAAAGTACTATAAGCTTGTACCAAAACGAAGTAGAAAATATAACACAGAGCAATGACGAACGACGTGGCTACTCTCTTCAGCTTTGGTATCCCATTCTAAGCGCATAGAACGTGTTAGGGGCTATAAACTAAGCTACTGATCCAACATGGCCACAAACAAAAACACATTCGAATTACGCGTTTACGCATTTTATACTATACGTTAACTACGAATGGGACATTGTCAATTGTTGCGGCTTCAGAATCGTCCGTAGTTGTTATATTGCATTTTTGCTAAAAATACCTAACAAATAGTTTTTCTCATCACGTTATGGAATACTACTGAATACTAACTATAGATATAAATAATCGCTATCCCATTCTAAGCGCAGGGGATGTGCTAGGTGCTATAAACAAAGGTATATACAGATCCAATGTGACCGCGAACAAAGACATTCCCGAGCTTTCACGCTGGCCTTCGTCGCCGTCCAAACACCGGAAACGATTAACCACTGATATCCTCCAGGTACAGCAAGTGAGCAAGTGCACGGTGTGGCTTTCCGGTGCAACTCCAGCGACGCATGCGACGGACGACTGCCGTTTGTCCATCCCATATTATTTTATTTACTCTATTTTCGATACGGTCTTGACCATAGTAAGTGCTTACTGTAGTTATTATTGTATTGTTGTGTTGTATTGAAAGATATTCATTTTTGAACTGATTCGATTGATTGAGACCAATTTTATTGATAGCCCGGTGCCCATCGACAAGGTTTGTTTAAACTTACTATTGGAACATTCCAAATTGGAATAAGGAAGAGCTATGATACCAGGATTTTCTAAACCCGAACAGAAGCTTCACTTCATTCTTACCTCCTACGCCTACTGGTACACGAAAAGCTATGACACTCATGTCCGGCAAGCTGTCTGTTTGTTTGCTAATCATCCGTTCTATTATTTGGGAAGTACCGCTAGGATTTTGTTGATATTTTCACATAAAACTACCACTATGCCAAGGACGAAAAAGCTTTGTCGTTTTTGGAAATCGGCTCAGTGTTAACAGAATTAAGCGAACATAATAAAAACCGCTCGTACTCCGTTTTTTTCACGTTTATAAGTTCCTGATCACTTTCAAAAAATGTTTTTTGGGGTTAGAAATCGGGGATTGAAGGTCACAGGGGTGTGGAAGGGTGTAACTCATTTTTTAGACAGCAGTACATTTATACGCTTTCAACACATATTGGTATATATGTATTTTACACATACATTTCCTGGTACATTTGCTCTAAAAAGTCATGCGCAAAACCCTATATGCGGCTAAGTGCATCGCAGGCGCTCTCGATCTCCAATTATGGTTTTATGGCTGGCGCTTATGGCATGGTTGACTGGTGTGGTTCAGCACCGGTGCCAGATGTTCCATACTTAGAGCAGGGAAGAAACTAGTTATCGTTATCAAAGGAGTGGAGTATGTACTAATTGTATTGGCCTATTTGGCCGACGTGATTCATTTCATGTTTTTGCTATACATACGCAGACAACCTAATTGATGCCATTTTTTAAAGTAATTTTTTTGGTATATGACGTCACTGTTATAACTGTACGTATTGATGAAAGCAAATGCGTACACCCAAATTAAAACACCTAAAAAAACCCGGAGCCGCAAAAAAGTGTGTCTTATGGCGGATTTCCACCAAACCGACTCGTCGAGTTGCTGTTTTGTTTCCGAATATGAAAACTCCGACAGACAACACAAAACAGCAACAAAACAGAACCAAATCAGAAACGCTGTTGCAACTGAACAGACTCGACTACAGTCCTAGTTGTGTGTAAGTTGTCACTCCTTTCCACTAGGCAGACAGTGTTTTGTGTTGATCATGTGGCATGAAGATGATCTTTTCATCATGTTATGTGGATGGTTTATATTGCATTCTAAAGCAAAGAAAAGGAAAAAGCGTCGACAGCACAGGTACTGGGTGAGATCGCTGTTGACTACAAGAGAAAATAATGGCGCGGCAGAAATGCTTACTCAGTTGAAAACGGATGATTTTGGATTGCATGGCGAGTTGCGATCATCGTTTCATAATTTTGTGAGAATGTCCAGCACTGATTTTGAAAACCTGATAACTCTGATCGGCGCAAAGATTCGCAAACAAAACACAAATTACAGAGACGCTATATCCGTAAAAGACCGTTTAGCTATAACACTAAGATTCCTTGCTACGGGGGACAGCTATCAAAGTTTGATGTATTTATGTAAAGCATCTGCATCATCAATTTCACGAATTGTGCCCGAAGTTTGCAGTGCCCTATGCGAAGGTCTAAAGGATAATATAAAGGTAAGGCCACACTGTATATAGGATACTGCAACGAAAATATATTTTGACAAATAGTACGTACAGTAACTTAAGGTTAATTCTTTGGAAACATGTCCTGATTTGTATTATCGTCATGATTTGTATTCAGCCCAAAGGATGATGCAATGGCAACTTGTAAAACGTCATCACTCCAAGTTTGTTGTACTTCCGTCTCCGTCATTGCCGACTGGGTGTCAGATGATACAGTGTGACTGCTGTTAGGTGAAGGTGATGGCACGACGACTCGCATGGTTTCTGGATAATTGTAATAACCGATTCGAGCCTCATATAGTAGGTTATTTATTTTGTGTTGCACAGTAACTCTAGCATGTTCAGTTTGCAGATGTCTGATATTGCAGGCCACCATTTCCCCAAACACGTCGTATTCGTCGCGCCTTGATGTAGTTACTTGCCTGTTCTCAAATACTGACTTCATCATCTGAAAGACCTCCGTAGTCTCATTTTTGTCATCAGACTCAACACGTTTTTTCTTTCTTGAGCCAATTTTTGGAGTACTAAAAACATGTGGTTTCTGGGAAGCTTGTTTCTGAAAATATTCTGCACTTTCTGTATTCTCAACTGAAACATTTTTGTTAACTGACGCTGCAGCAGCGATTTTAGGCTCTTCCCTTGTATTTGCTGCAGGTGTGCCTATTTCCTCAGTTAACTGACATTCTGAAACTTCGCTTTCACTTTCATACTCATTCGTTGCTTCGGTTGTGCTTTGCATATCAGACTGGGTTTCTTCATCACCTTCATCTGACGAATCACTTCCCTGTAATTATAGAGTGCGCATTGAATTGGCTGAATTTCATAAAATGTGGGTTGTATAGTTTAAAATGAAGATTATTTTAGGAATAATATCAGTTGTTTGAAATCCAATATCAAGAAATCAGATATCGTGTCCTTTCGGGATTCTTCCTTCTTACATTTGATCATGGTCCTGAATTTTTTTGTTTTAAGGTTCCCGCAAATCCAGAGGATTGGAAAAAAGTTGCAAATGGATATAATACAATGTGGAACTTCCCGATGTGTATAGGCAGTATGGATGGAAAACATGTAATCATAGAATCCCCAAAATACAGTGGAAGTGAATTCTTCAATTATAAAGGGACTTTTAGTATTGTATTGTTTGCCATAGTCGATGCCAGTTACAATTTTATTTTTGTTTACGTTGGGTGCCAGGGCCGAATATCAGACGGAGGAGTTTTCAAAAATACTGGATTTGCCAAAGCATTGGAAAGAGATATGCTCAATCTGCCACAAAAGGCGGCACTTTCTGGAAGAGAAAAACTGGTACCATACGTCTTACTAGCAGACGATGCATTCCCCTTGTCACAAAATATAATGAAGCCGTATGCTGGGCACCAAGAACGTGGGTCAAGACAACGAATTTTTAATTACCGTCTAAGTAGAGCTCGAAGAGTCGTCGAGAACGTATTCGGAATACTAGCATCTGTTTTTCGGGTCCTTCGCAAGCCTATGTTACTAGAGCCGGACAAAGTGGAGAAAGTTGTTCAAACATGTGTTTTGCTGCACAATTATTTACGTAGAGATGTGGAATCGAAAGATAGATATACACCGCCAGGCTCCTTTGATTTCGAACACTTAGATTCTGGTACTGTAAGTGGAGGATTGTGGAGAAATGATCCGGAACCATGTCACTCACTTTTGCCTATAAGACGAATAGCAAGGAAACCAATTCAAGAAGCCCGAGAAATTAGAGACGAATTCAGCGAATATTTCATATCGGACTTAGGACAAGTACCATGGCAATCACAGTATGCTTAATTATTTGTTGTAAATTTTCTTAAAATGCTAGAGTTTTAAATAAACACAAAAAAAACAAAATACCTACTCACCTCCAATTCTACGCCAATCTGTGTTCCTTTCCTAGGTTTGTTTTTGTCGTGAAGGAAGCTCATGGCACTATAACCAAACCATTTTGCCTTGAAAACATGACCGGCTCCTGATTTTTTCATTTTTTTGTAACTGCGCCTTTCCCGTTGGTACTGGGTAATTAAGTTTTTTATTTTCCTCTCTATTTCATGTGGAGTTGTTTTAAATACATGAGCTATTTGTTTGTAAGTGTCCATTTTTTTCACTCGATTTTTATACTCCAGGTTTGTGGGGTTCCATAAATTTGGACAATCGCGATAAGTTTCTATTAAATTTCCCACTTCTTCTGTGGTCCACTTTTTCTTTTCTTCAGTCATATCCTGCAATTAACTGCTAGGTATTCAATAGCACAAATAAATTCAAACTGCGCACACTGCAACACACTACAACAGACTACAACAAAACAGAGACGCGTCGCAAGCTGTTTCCACTAAACCAACTGTGTTGCTAGTTGCGCGAAAACCCTTTGAAGTTACCGCCTTCGACCGGGACTTCGAAAACACAACAAAAACTCAACAAAAACAGTTGCCGGCGACTCCTGTCTACAAAATGTTGGTGAAAAGTTGCAGTTTTGTTGAGATAAACACGAGTTTCTGTTTTGTTGCTGTTTTGTCTGTTTGGTGGAAATCCGCCATTAGAAATACTAGTTTTTATTGTTTCACGTGAAACGTGAATACTAGAGTCATCATCGCGATTCAGTTGGTCCACTGGTCAGCACCTCTTGTGCTCTGTTGTACCGTTTATCTACACAGGATTTCAATTCCCTTTTGCGGCTTTTTCAGAGTATCAATATCAGATCTACTATACAATCATATCCAGTGGCGAAGCGTCCATGTAACCATTGTTACAATTGGTAACAGTTAAAAATCATAAAAATAAATATTTTATGACTAAGTACTGTGAAATAATTCCATTTATTTGTTTACCAACAGCGATATGTAATAGTAATTCAATAAATAGCAAATTAGCCCCACGAAAATAATGCGCCCTGTAGTGTCTAGGTTTTGCGAACACGATGAAGCTTGGTTGTCGGTTGTTACCATTTTCATTTATGGATACACTTGGTAGTCCGTCGGAGACCTTCGGATCCGGATCGTGTCTGATCGCGGTCGCCCAAGTGCGTGGGGCACTGCGACTATTATGTGGGCTTGTTACCATTTTTTGATTTGGTCAGTCAGTTCTCACTCGTTCGTAGCCGTTTTGGTTACCGGCTGTAGTGTGCGTGTAATTAAACATGGATGAGTGTCGCTGCGTAATCGATCAACTACTAGAAAAGTCATTCTCCTTGTATAATTTTTAAGGAAAAAAAGGAGATCATTGAAGATGGAAGACCAACACCTATTTTAGATAATTTTAAAAAGGAATAAAAAACGTAGTTTGATCTTTTAAATTAAGTTGGTATATGGAAACTCTTGGTTATGTGGTTGCAAAAAAACAGATTGTATTGTTGGCGATGTCTTCTGTTTTATACAGAAAAAAATGGATGGACCAGCAGCGCAGTCAACGATTTAAATAGTTTTAGGGCTCTAAAGAGGAGACATTAAATTTCTCCGTTACATGTGAGATGTGTAGCCAATTTAATTCAGTTTGGCAAAACAAGAATCGAAAGTTGTCTTAACCAAGCTTTTAGGCAGCACACTTCTAGATACCGTATGTTTTTGGCAAAACAGGAATTGCCGTTCATTTTGAAGGGGATGTCTCTGATAATAGAGGAAATTACAGGAAATTGTTAACATTCATTGCCAAAAAAGATCAAAAATTTTCCGAACATCTAGAAACGTCGATTGTTTTTTCGGACGGCTTGAATTAGTCATAGCACAAGACGATGAGGTATATCAAGTGCCCCAGATGCTCAGTCCAGGAAAAATAGTTTAAATAAAATACCTAAGATAATCAAAAACTTATATTTGGGAGGTTCAAAATAAACTTTTTTTAATAAGATTTTTCACATCTGGTTTTGGTAACAGCTTAGGAAAAGTCACGCGTCGCCACTGATCATATCCTTTTTTGCGTATGTGAATAACATTGTCAGTTTTATTAACAATCATACCTCGTTAACAAATAATAGTGCGCCTCTGAAATTCTATGAACATGTTCCAGCATCATGTTCAGCACAACTTAGACTCCCTGAGAAAAAAATTTAGTCACGAACAGGAAAAGAGAGACATTAAACGAATCAAGTAAGTCAAACAGGTACACACAGTCAGTGCATAGACATTATTTCCCTGCCTTACCGGTAGTACCGTCGATTTGGCAACGTCGTTTCAGACGGCCAGACACTCATTGGGACCGGCATGCCCGCCGGTGAACCTAGAGAGAGGAAGCAGCACGCGTATCGAAGACATTTCTGTCGCACTGTTTTAAGGGCAAATGTACCAGAACATCTATGATGTGTTCACCCCCTGCAGCTCCCAGCCTCAGATTTTTAACCCGTAAGACTTTTCTAAACCGATCGGGAGCCTCTGAAATATCAAAAAAAACTGTTTTTTCCGTTTTTTGCCCAGTAACACGGCTGCAACTCGAGCGATATTCAAAATTTACGAAGCCTTTGCCTAGCTTAGTGTTAGCCTTGTGTGAAAATTTCATCCAAATTCGAACGGTACTTTCCAGGTCATAGACTGACTAGCGGACAGACATACAGACATACCGACAGGCCGACCTACATTGGTTTTTCGTGATGTACATGTCATATAGCATCAAAAAACATAATATCTCATACGACAGTGGGAAGTAAAAAGGATGTGCGAAGACTAATGGCGGCCAAAGTTAGTTTCTGTCGAATATTTACGGGGTTGGCCATCTATAAGTTCTTTAATATCAATTATTTTGAAGCTAGTTGGAATGCTCCATTGACAGAACCGACTCGAAGCAGCAACAATTTGATTTTGATTATTTTTTTTATAATACCTTGATGTTATGTGAATGATCCTCGGTGCATTCATTACCTGAAATCGGGCATGTACAGAGCCCATGTAATCGACTTTGTTCAAAAACAAAAAATGCACGATGAAGTCGTTGAGAATGAAGATGACACTTCTCGGTTGATTTTTGCGTTGGTCGTTGGTCGTAGATTGCGGCATTGTCTTCGCGATTTGCGGTCAAGAGCGCTCTCCTTTGAGGTGAACATCACCATGAAGATCGCCGTTGGCTGGCTGGCGACCGACGGCAAATAATCCGCTACTTTTTCATTTGAAGTGGTAATTAGTGACGATGAATGCGCTTCTGCGGCACCGGATTCAACAGAAAACCTTAATCGGATCCCCTCGATGCGCTCTGACGCCCGTAACGCTAACCGTCACCCATCGCAAGATTTACAATAATTATCGTCTAGATTTACTGCACTAGCTGTACTGGGATATTTGCATCTCCGTTTTGTTATCTTCATCCCTAGTTGTGCCAGATTATTAGGATCTGACAGAATATTCGGTCACATTCAGTCTTCGAAAAATCTCTACTTTCCAGAAAATATTGCGACTATGGTGGTGATAAAAATGTACCGGGTGGGCCAATAACAAAGGATGCCGGCTGTATATCGGCAATCGCTCAACCTAGAAGTATCGGTAAAAAAATTATGATAAAAGTGTCCTAGAGAAATTGCTGGAAATTATTTTCAACTTTAATCTAAAATGACCGATAGGTGTCATCATTCCAATTTCAAAAATTCAATCGCCTTTATTTTGCAAGAATTATCATTAACATTACTCGCATAATAAATGATAGAACATACTTCTTCAAAGCAGTACCACGGTCACAAGCATAACCATATGCCATCTCCAGCAGTAGGACCCGCTACAAGATCATCATCAGCAGCTAAAAGCAAAGTTGACGTTTTCGAGAAGAGCACCCCACCAGCAAAAAAATCCAAGATTTAGGCTGTGACTTGTTCTTTTACTCTGTTTTCCTTGTGAAAATATTTTATCGTTTTTTACATGACTTTTTATTAGTATATGTGATGGTATATGTATCATATGTATTTAAGCTAACCATGAATGAGTGTTTAGCTTGAATATAATATCTTGCTTGTACTCATTGACTATCCTATTCTAGCTACTATAAATATGAACACATTGTCCTTTTTTTAAATGTAAGACGTTTTTGTCATGTCTAACAAGGAAATGGATGATTTTTAAAAAAACTTTAAACCGAAATTTATACAAACTGCAATATTGAAAGGTGTATCTGATATTGATAATATAATTTCTAATGAAACGGATAGCTTAAGCTTACTTCATCTCAACATTAGGAGTATCTGTAAAAAACTTGACAGTTTAAAACTACATTTGGAGGAAATCAAACACGAATTTGACATAATCATATTATCAGAAACATGGCGACTTGAAGATGGATCTCTGTTTGGCATGGACGGCTACGCTAACTTTTATAATGAAGGTAATATCAACAAGAATGATGGCTTATTTGTGTTTGTCAAAAGAGAACTACATTGTCGCGACAACATTATATCACTTGATAACAAACTTAAACTTTTAGAGATAGATCTCAAATTTGATAACAAAAAACTGAAAATAACTTCGATTTATAGACCTCCCAGTACATGTCCACACGAGTTCATAGAATGTCTCGACAATTACCTCTCCAGAATTAGTAACACGTGTATGCATGTTGGCGATATAAACATAGACATCAAAAGAAATAGTAACATATCAAGCAGGTATGTTAGTATGCTGAGTAGTCATGGATTTCTATCTTATATAAATGATTTCACTAGAGTACAGGGACAAGCTAATTCCCTGTATAGATCACATCTTTATTCGAGATCCATTGCCTAATTACAACTATATTCCAGCTATCATCCACTCTGATATAACCGATCATTTCCCAGTGATACTCCAATTGCGCGCTCAAAATAAGCAACATGACGGCCATATACTGATAGAAATAAATTATACAACAATGCCAGAGCCGAAAATTGGCTTAGTGTTTATGTTGCAGACACGATAGATGCAGCGACCGAAAGATTAGTGGAAACTATTAAAAATATTGTAGACAGAAGTACAAAAAAGGTCAGAATTAAAAGCAAGTTCAAAAAATGAACGCCATGGATCACAGGCGGATTAATCACATCCATAGAGGAAAGAAACAGATTATACACAGAGCTCAAAAATAGCCCAACCGAAGAGAAAAAACCAACTACAACAACTACAGAAACAAACTTGGAGTTTTAATAGACGCGGCGAAGAGAAGCTACTACCAAAAAGAGCTGGAAAATGACAGATCTAATCCAAGTTGTGGAGGTCCCTGAACAAATTGACAGGAAGCAACAATCAAACCGGAATACAAGAAATTAAACTAGATGACAACAATAAAAGCTCGGACAGAAAAATGGTAGCAAATAGGTTTGCCGATTATTATGCACATGCAGATGAGACTCTCGCAGATAAGCAAATTGAAGATATAGACACTAATACAAATTTTCCACAGCACTCTCAACAAAACTCATTCTTTCTTTATGATACAGATGATGAAGAAATAATTGAAACAATAAATTCGTTAAAAAACAAAAAGTCCCCGGGCTTGGACACAATCTGACCTGAGCACCTTAAAATTATATCGTCTGAAATAGCCCCACATTTAAAATATATTTTTAATAAAATATTCCAGCTATATTCAAAACGGCAATAATAACACCCATATACAAAACTGGGGAACGGTCTGAAGTAACTAACTACCGACCTATATCGTTAATATCTTCATAGTATAATTTTTGAAAATATTCTGAAAAAACGAATGATAGCTAAATACAAAATAATATCTAATAAACAATTTGGATTTAGACAATGATACTTTGAGTGATGAAGTTTGGAATACCACAAGTGACTGTATTGGCACCGATATTATTTAATATTTACGTTAACGAATTATTTTGCTGACGACACGGCCATCATATACAGTTCTCAAACCTGGGAAAACCTAAAAACTCTAACAGAAACAGAATTTTGCAAGATTATCAAATGGTTCAACTCTAGACTTTTAACCGTAAATTACAACAAAACTTGTTACATCCCATTTTCATCCTGTGAACGATATATGCCCAAATATTCAAATTTAAACATAAAACTGAAGAACAACCAAAATGAACGATTACAACTAACTTCTTCGCGCAGTGTTAAATATCTGGGAGTGTTCCTAGATTCTACCCTTAAATGGGACACGCTCATACATTTCGTAATTGAAAAATTGCGTACAATACTTTACAAATTTAAATATCTTATGAAATACTATAACTTCTATCAAATGAAAGTACTTTATTATTCACTAGTTGAGAGCCATTTGTGGTATGGTGAGATCGCGTGGGGAGCAGCGTATAAGACACACATGAAAAATCTTGAGACAATACAAAAGTACATTCTAAAGGTAATATATAATAAGCCAAGAATATACCCAACAGAACAATTATATACCGAAATTGAAGTGCATGATATTCGACAACTCTACTTCATCCAGACCATCATGAAGCAGCACCAACTAAAACATAAGTTACGCCAAACTGAGCATGACTATGATACCCGCCATAAAGTGAGAGCATGTTTACCAAAGCCTCACGTCAATGTCATGCAGAGATCATTCCAATACCTGGGACCGAAGCTTTATGATTTGCCTATTATCTTAAAACAGTATAATTCTATGCAGTTTAAAAAAGAACTAAAATTAATGAAATACCTCGCCTCCACATACATCAGCTAATTCTTTCAAATATATATACAAACGATTAAAACCTTTTTTTTAAACTATCACAGCATTTTTTTAAAAGTTCTTAATATATACATACGGTTAAGCATATCCAAGCATGCAGCAGCTAAAGCAAATGAACTTAATAATATGACATTCCCTGATTGAGAGATGCTTTTTGTACCCTTTTCAACAAGCTTATTTAAAGGAGCACTCTAATTGTTAATTTTAATGAAGTTAATGAACTTGTTTCTTGGCCGTCATTTTATAGGTATGCCGGTTAATATTGATAAATTTAGACCAAGATCTATTTATTTCACACATTGCCGGTTTAACATCAGGTACTCTATATAATCCCTAGGAATTGTATTCATTACCTAGTTAAAGTATGTAATGGATAATAATATTCATAAAATTCCATACATTGCCTGGACAACCCAGGTATTCTATACATTACCTAGGTTTTGTATAGAGTACCTAAATTGTACAGATTACCGGTAACATATTATGGAATAAGCTTAAACGAGGTCTATGAATTAAGTGATGATTTTGTTTTTTTTTTAATTTTCATTCAAATATAAGTACTTTTTTATATTATCACCTTCATTGAATAACTTCTTCTGAAGCAACACAACGCTGGAAATGGTTCTTCCACTCCTCTTAGCAGTGCTGGAACTCCGATACTGAAATAGCCTTCAGCTGGTCGGTTGCAGCCGTTTAAATGTTTTCGACTGGCCCAAAGTGAGTTCCCTTGAAGTAATGTTTCAACTTCCGGAAGAGAAAAAGTCACAAGGACTCACCTCAGGCGAATGAGCAGGCTGAGGAGCCACAGGAATGTTTTCACTGGCCAAAAACTTGTTTATTAACGTTGCTGTGTGGCAAGGAGCATGATCCCGCCTTGCGAAATCCTTTTTTTATATACTCCTACTACAACGAAGGCCTGAGGCCTAAACACCCATGGGGTACCGTGGGGCTATAGGGGATACAGAGGCTAGGGGGGCGCCACACGGACCTTAGCATGGGAGCACGGGTGCATGCAACGTGCACACATTCTGGCACAGCCTACTAGGGGTGGTACCTCCGCCTTCGATAGTTAAACCGTCTGCCACCTACGGATAATCACAACATCCATAGCTAAGAGAAAAATTCTCTTGGGACGGGATTCGAACCCGCGCAGCGCTCGGCAACTGATTAGTAGACCTATAAGATCTATAAAATCACTTTTTTAAGCCAATACAGTGGTGTTACCTCGTGAGGCAAAGTCTTTATTAGCCCAGGAATATTGTATGCTTAACAAACGCAGCTTGCATTTTTTTCGCAGGAAACTCAATATTCCTGGGCTATTCCGATTCGGAATGTCGAATAGGGGGAACCAGTATTGGGAAATAGACATTTGTTACATCTTGTCCGACTTACATTTTGAGTAATTCTCCTTTTTTTAATGTAAAAATGGCTTTAATGGCCCACGTCGTTCCCAATAATTCACTGCAATTCCTTATATTTCCCATAATTTACCTGTAATGCCTGAAAATTCCTGTTGTCTGAACAATAAATTCCCTCAGCGTATTATACATTAATGCTACTGCTCACATCTCTTAACCCATAACTTGATTCTTTGGCTGGAAAGACCTACAATTTTTGGGAAACGTTTAGAACAGTATTCGATACGATAGGTATTATATGCTTAGAGAATTATTTAAATGGAATCGTTTTTTATTTGCAGGGTACGCAATCCTTCAAGCGAAATCTTGAACGTGATTTGCACCCCTCCCAGCGAGAAGAGTAATGGGAGTCTCAACGGCCATCATCACACCCCACGAAGGTCCTCTCAACATGTAGATTCCTTCAGCCGTCTATTTGGAACTCCCGTCAATAAGAAACCGACACCTAGGCGAGGATCTCTCAACAATCAAGGTAAATAAACATTTTTAGATAAAATGGTAATTAAGCTTGCATTGACCGAAATTATATTACAGTTAAGAATTTCGTTCAATGAAACACTTCCCAGTAAGCAGAGAACGTGTTGTGATCGTGTCTGCAAAACGACTTTTCAAATTCATGTCTTTTTTTAAAGCATCGGGGAATAGCAATTATGAAAATTAGCAGGCGAGAATTACTATTGCTGAAAGTTGATTTTTGAAAATTTTAAAGATTCCATCGGTTTCCAAATATAATTGCACAATACGAGAAATACATCATATTATTCTCTACGCTCTCGAATTAGTTTAAGATAATTTGATTGAAAGATTTTTTTTTTTAGTGTTAAGCTTCTTTTTCATTATTTGGAATTACTTGATAATATCATTAATATTTTTATAGTTGCAATTCGGTAGCACTATTGCGATTGGGGAGATTTTTGATTTTATTTGAAAACTTTTTTCATGGCGGCTGTGTTAAGAAAATACATATCACCCATTTCCGTCGATATTTTTGTCTGTCGGTCTGTTTCTGTTTAATCTCAGAAACGGCTTCACCGATTTAGGTGAAATTTGCACACACTTAGTTATTTATGCAGCACAGTAAAAAAAGATTATTTCTTTTTAATTACAATTTGGAAAAATCTCAAAATCTCTTTGCGCCGTTTTTCAAGTCAATGCAATATCCAAAAAATGGCTCTATACTTTCCACGCCTTCTAAACAACTGCTAGTACAATTTTCCATGTAATGCAATGGCATCAAAGAGATGTAGGATTTGTCAGAACCACTAGTGCACTATTTGGGCTTTTCATGAAAAAAATTTCTTAGATTACAGTAGTGAGCGTGTCCGTACACGGTAGTCACATTTCTTTGGAGGACTAATGAAAAACTGTTTGTGAAAAATATTTGATTACTGATTATAAAAGCTATGGATACGGATACATACTATATATTACCTCACAAGATCAAATAAACTCATTAAATTACACTCCAAGCATGATGGTCGTATAAATAATATCTCGCCCACCTCGTATGTACATATCACGTCACCGCGCCATCTGCTACCTGCTGTTCTAAGTCCCTCGGATCCACTAGTAAAGATGCAATACTTACCACCCATTAACGCACGGCAAGTGCGAACGATAGGTAGGCGAACCGTTTGTTGACAAATATTTTAGTTTTAAGGGTATGGGGAAATCTATGATGTGTGAAATATATCTAACAGGTGCTTATAATTACCGGGGCTGGAAGTATATTAATATAATATACACCCTCCCCCACCCCCTACATCTCACTTCCCAATTTCTTTACCCCTTAAAAGTTTTTCAATAATGATCAGGATCTTCTGTAGCGTCAAAAACTAAGTTTAAGCGATTTTCATTTTTGGATTTTTTCTCTTCCTCCACTGGACCAATTTTCAAAAACGATAACGCTTTATCGCCCTTGGCATAATAGTGTTCTTGTGTAAAAATTTCGTCCAAATTCGAGCAGTACGTTCCAGTTATAGACTGGCCGAGGATTAGCGGACAGGCAGACCGACAGTCCGACTAGGATGTGTGACATGTCAATAACATCCAAAATATACTAAGTGACATATAAATCCGAACACCCAGTTTAAATGGTTTTATTTTAATAAAATTTTGTATAAGTACTTAATGAAGCATAATAAGTAAATGATAAAAATTTCAAAATGATTGCACTGCTTTAAAGCTCTTTGACCTGTAATAATGTGTGGATGCACCCTGATGTGCTACGCATTCTCCAACGCGCCTAGGCATGCTTCTGATCAGATGGTCAATGTCCTCCTGTGGTATTTCATTCCAGGCACCCACCAACTCCTCTCGAAGTGCTTCTAGAGTTTGAGGAGGACGTTGCAAATTGAGCAATCTCCTACCCATCATATTCCACACGTGCTCAATTGGGGATAAGTCGGGATATCTTGGTGGCCATGGTAACAATGTGACATCATTATGTTGAAGGAAGTCTATTGTGACTCTTGCAACATGTGGTCGGGCATTATCTTGTTGGAAAGTTGGATCTGCCAGGGTGTCAAGATAGGGTAAAAGATGGGGTTCTAGAACTTCGTGGATATAACGCTGCGCGTTCATGTTACCTCTGATGAAGACTAAAGATGACCTGGAACCATAAGATATAGCACCCCAAACCATAACTCCAACATTGTGATGAACATGCTTTTCAACAAAAAACTGTGGATTCCTCCTTTCACCACGTCGCCTTCTAACCCTGGCATGACCAACGTGCATGCCTAAACAAAATCGAGACTCGTCACTAAAGACAATACTGTTCCATTCCTGATCCCAGAGTGACCGTTGTCTGCACCACTCAAGGCGATTACGTCGGTGTTCTCGAGTTAAAGGGAGGACCCAGTGTGGCCGGTATGAAAACAAGCCAAAACTTCTCATTCGTCGGTAAACACTTCGCATGCCAATAGGTCTTCCGTTTTCTGCAAACCATTCATTTGGAATCCACCTGGTAGTGGAGAAACGGTCCCTTAAGGCCAATAATCTTAGGCGGCGATCTTCACGGTCTGTTGTTCTATGGCGGCGTCCAGTGCCGCTTGCTCTTTGCGTACGGCCTTCTCGAAGCCATGCCTGACAACACCTAACCACAGTGTCTACACTTCTTTGCACTCTAACTGCAATTGCCCGAAAATAAAGTCCAGCTTCCCGAAGTCCCACTATACGGCCCCTATCAAACTCACTAAGTTAACGAAATCATACAGGTCTCCGTACTCTAGGCATCGTAACCGATCGTAAAGGATGTCAAGAACCAAAATCCGCCAACTGAGGCTGAAATATTCATAGTGAATTAAAAAAAAAGCAGTATAAAAACCGGAATGTCCAACTGATAAGGCTGAACATTTTTTCACTTGTTATTTACAGTAAGATAAATACATTCACCAACTTTTATTAAAATAAAACCATTTAAACTGGGTGTTCGGATTTATATGTCACTTAGTATACATAATATCTCATTTTCGACGGGTATCGGTATTACAATATCTCCCCGTCAGCAGGCGTGGAAAGTAAAAGTCAACGAACGTTTGCGCCTCGAAGATTCTAAGTTTATTCGTGTGAATATTCCAGAAATTCAGTCAGTCTACGTGACTACATTTTTGCTGATATTTTTTATCGTTCCTGGACTTAAGAAAGACTACGTACTACTCGATTTTTCTTTGTTCTAGATGTGACCAATCGCAACCCAGTTACTGGCAGTGGAGTAACTTCTTATGATTGTAGGCCATCTAGTCGCAACAACACTCCAAAGGTTCATATAGGTAAGTATTAACAGCAAAAAAACACATGTTTGTCTAATTTGTTTAAAAAAATTAAACAAATTTGATCTGGCTTACCGTCCAGCTACCTCTTACTACGTTCAGCAAATGTGATTATAGGAAAAAGTGTAGTTGGAAAATTTCGCGAATGCGAGGTGTTAACCTGGTGTACTATCTTAGCATCTATTTAAAAATAATCACTGGGTATCGCGGAAGTCATTAATGCAATTTTATACCGCATCACTCTAAGCGCACACCTACCTGGGTGCATACCGAAATTTGAGAAAATACTGTATAATATAATTTGTCGCTTTAGAATAAAATTTAAGGAAACGTGGGTAATTGATTTGTCAGGTATAACTACTTATTCCAAACTCAATTAGTTAAAGTTTTCCCCTACAAGATCCCAACCATTATTTCGAGTTTGATCTATACCAAAGCAATTTTCAACCTTGTGTGCCAGGTCAAAAATGGCAAACTTTTAAATTTCACACACTGAGCAGTGATCCATTTTCTGTTTCAGAACGTAATCCAGTGACTGGTGAAGTATACCAAATTGTCAGCCCAGCTACAACTCCGACCAAACCAATGCAGAACGGATTCGTATACCAAAATGGTTCCTCTACTCCAATGCTTAACGGACACTCCGGTCAATCCACACCCATGATGAACGGAAACGGAAATCCAACCATGAATGGCAACGCTACGCCCAATGGAAATGCTTAGACATCCCCCCTCCACCACCATTCACCCAATTTTAGAACGAGAAATGACCAAACACCCCTCCTCCCCCCCCAAATCCATGACAATTTAATATCAGAAGTGGGATATTCACTAGCAGCAAGCGTCTGAAACAAAGTGGTCATGTTCAAGCTGGTTATATGATAATTCATTTGTCAATCTATTTATATGAGATTCAGCACCTAAGCTGAAATATTATCGAGACAGCTAAGTGCTAGTGAACGCAGCCAATGATCACAGTGTTCAGTCATTTACAGCTGTCAAACTATAAGCCTTTTGGAGTTCGTACAAACTCATTTCTAGATCCAAGAAAAGCATTACCGGCAAAGACTGAACGCTGTTATGTCTATTTCTATTAACCGATTACTTATTAAATTTAAATCAAACTTTATTAGTGAGAAATGTTTGAAGTAGCCTTGTAATTGTACATGTGAACAATTGTTTAAAAAACTAACTGCATTGTTTTTGTAGAAGTATCTGTACGTTCCTATACCGCGAACTATTTTTTTCTGTGACTCATGCAAGAATTCCATGAGGTTCTTTAAACTGTTGATATATTGAGAAGAATGCATCATAAATCATCATAATTAAAACCTAATGTTTACATTAGTGTGATGGTTAAACAGGAATAGTTCAAAAAACCTAAGTAGAATATTAAAAATTTTGTAATATTAAGAATAGTTTACTGAGTGCAGCATGTTCATGTAGGGGCTTAAAAATCTGTCAAAAGGATAGAGAAACCTCAAATTCAAGTTTTGTATTGAGAACATTTTCTCTCATATATTGAAGTTTTTTTTCACCATATTCCATATACCTACTTTCGATACAGTGCTACAGTTATAATCAGTTCTTTTTCTTGTTTCATGTTTGGTATGACTGTTTCTTATATTTTCACATAGTCCTTATATACTATTCAAACCAAAAGGATTTTAAGTTAGAACTTATAATATATAGATTACAGATTATATACTATAAGGCGAAATTACATAGACGTTCAAAATTTGAGCACTACCAAATACTTTGGGTATTTGAATAGTGCTTTGAGTAGTTGTAAACTATATTGTCTATTTTGTTTTTCATAGTTTTGTTCGTTATATTTTTATTTATACCAGAACGTATTAGTAGTCGGTTTCAAATGTTTATATTATTTATACAATATAGTATCTTAGACATTTATGTATGATGTAAGCGATAAGTTCAGAATAAAGGTTTTATACAATAGTGGGCGTTTTTATTTTTATTATTTTTTCGAATATTACTACATCAGGATAACAGAGACGGCGAGAGGCATCTAACTGGACACATAATATATCTGAATTTCCCGCCACTTTCTGAGGAGGAAACGTACCTACGAGTTTCTTCAATCCCGGCAGCAAATCGGTACCAACTCGATTCGAACATTCTGCAACAAAATCAGGCGAAATGATACTGAGACTTCTGTATCCGAATCACACAGACAGCGAAGGTATCCAACTTAACACGCGACATATTTGGACTTCCCGCCAATTCATTATAAGCAAATTGATCTAACTACCTCCTCGCGTGATCCTGATAGCAATTTCAGACGAACTCGAATCAAAGGTTTCACAAATAAAGTTTGTTGGAATTGTGCGCTAGTGGGGCACTGAAAATTCTGTATCAGGATCGCAGAAACAGCGAGAGGCGTTTAATCCATTACGCGTTACATTTGAACCTGCCGCCATTTTGTTAACAGCAACCTGTTCTCCATACCTTCTCACGTTTCTGCGATTCTGATAGCAATTTCAGACCAACTTGATTCGAAGGTTTCACAAATGCAGTTTCTCGGAATTGTGCGCTAGTGGGGTACTGAAAATTCTGTATCAGGATCTCAGAAATAGCGAGAGGTGTATAATCCAGCACGCGCTATATTTGAACCTCCCGCCATTTTGTCTATAGCAAGCTGTTTTCCATACCTTCTTGCGTTTCTGCGATCCTGATAGCAAATCCGTACTAACTCAGGTCAAAGATGTAAGAATATCTGGTCGAGTGAGCGCTCTCGAGACGCTAAGAATTTTGCATCAGGATCGCAGAGACAGCAAGAGGTATGCGATTTAACACGCCATATATTTGGATTTCCCGCCACTCCATTATAAGCAAATTGATACTCTACCTCCTCGCGTTTCTGTGTTCCTGATAGCAATTTCAGACCAACTCGATTCGAAGGTTTCACAAAAGAAGTTTGTCGGGTCTGTGTGCTAGTGGAGTTCTGAAAATTCTGTATCAGGATCGCAGAAACAGTGAGAGGTGTTTAATCCGGTACGCGCTACAGTTGAACCTCCCGCCATTTTGCAAGCTGTTTTCCATACCTTCTCGCGTTTCTGCGAGCCTGATAGCAAATCCATACTAACTCAGGTCAAATATGTAAGAAAATCTGGTCGAGTGAGCGCTTTCGAGATGTTAAGGATTATGTATCAGGATCGCAGGGCCTGCGAGAGGTATGCGATTTAACATGCGATATATTTGGATTTCCCGCCATTTCATTATAAGAAAATTGATCTTTCTATCCATCTACTCGCGATTCTGTGATCCTAATAGCAATTTCAGACCAACTCGATTCGAAGGTTTCACAAAAGAAGTTTGTCGGGTCTGTGTGCTAGTGGGGTTCTGAAAATTCTGTATCAGGATCGCAGAAACAGTGAGAGGTGTTTAAGCCGGTACGCGCTACAGTTGAACCTCCCGCCATTTTGCAAGCTGTTTTCCATACCTTCTCGCGTTTCTGCGATCCTGATAGCAAATCCATATTATCTCAGGTCAAAAGTGTAAGAAAATCTGGTAGAGTGAGCGCTTTCGAGACGCTAAGAGTTGTGTATCAGGGTCGCAGAGACTGCGAGCGGTATGCAATTTAGCACGCGATATATTTGGATTTCCCGCCATTCCATTATAAGCAAATTGATCTCTCTACCTCCTCGCGTTTCTGTTATCCTGATAACAATTTCAGACCAACTCGATTCAAAGGTCTTGCAAAAGAAGCTTGTGGGAATCGTGCGCTACTGGGGTTCTGAAAATTCTGTATCAGGATCGCAGAAACAGTGAGTGGTGTTTAATTCAGTAAGCGCTACCTTTGAACTTCCCGCCATTTTGTTAATGGCAAGCCCTTTTCCGTACCTTCTCCCGTTTCTGCGATCCTGATGCCAAATCCATACTAACTCAGGTCAAAGATGTAAGAAAATCTGATCAAGTGAGCGCTTTCGAGCCGCTAAGAATTCTGTATCAGGATCGCAGAAACAGCGAGAGGTGTTTAATCCAGTACGGGCTACATTTGAACCTCCCGCCATTTGTTAATAGCAAGCTGTTTTCCATACCTTCTCGCGTGTCTGCGATCCTGATACCAAATCCATACTAACTAAGGTCAAACATGTAAGAAAATCTGGTCGAGTGAGCGCTTTCGAGACGCTAAGAATTCTGTATCAGGATCGCAGAAACAGCGAGAGGTGTTTAATCCAGTACGGGCTACATTTGAACCTCCCGCCATTTGTTAATAGCAAGCTGTTTTCCATACCTTCTCGCGTGTCTGCGATCCTGATACCAAATCCATACTAACTAAGGTCAAACATGTAAGAAAATCTGGTCGAGTGAGCGCTTTCGAGACGCTAAGAATTCTGTATCAGGATCACAGAGACGGCGAGAGGTATGCGATTTAGCACGCGATATATTAATTTGATTTCATGCTATTCCCTTATAAGCAAATCGATCTCTCTACCTCCTCGCGTTTCTGTGATCCTGATAACAATTTCAGACCTACTCGATTCAAAGGTTTTGCAAAAGAAGCTAGTGGGGTACTGAAAATTCTGTATCAGGGCCGCAGAAGTAGCGAGACATTTGAACCTCTCGCCATTTTGTTAATAGCAAGCTGTTTTCCATACCTTCTCGCGTTTCTGCGAGCCTGACAGCAAATCCATAATAAGGTCAAAGATGTAAGAAAATCTGGTCGAGTGAGCGCTTTCGAGACGCTAAACATTCTGTATCAGGATCGCAGAGACGACGAGAGGTCTGCGATTTAACACGCGATATATTTGGATTTCCCGCCATTCAATTATAAGCAAATTGATCTCCCTACCTCCTCGCGTTTCTGTGATCCTGATAGCAATTTCGGACCAACTCGATTCGAAGGTCTTACAAAAGAAGTTTGTCGGAACTGTGCGCTAGTGGGGTTCTGAAAATTCTGTATCAGGATCACAGAAACAGTGAGAGGTGTTTAATCCGGTACGCGCTACAGTTGAACCTCCCGCCATTTTGTTAATGGCAAGCTCTTTTCCATTCCTTCTCGCGTTTCTGCGATCCTGATACCAAATCCATACTAACTCAGGTCAAAGATGTAGGAATACCTGGTCGAGTGAGCGCTTTCGAGGCGCTAAGAATTCTGTATCAGGATCACAGAGACGGCGAGAGGTATGCGATTTAGCACGCGATATATTAATTTGATTTCATGCTATTCCCTTATAAGCAAATTGATCTCTCTACCTCCTCGCGTTTCTGTGATCCTGATAACAATTTCAGACCTACTCGATTCAAAGGTTGTGCAAAAGAAGCTAGGGGGGTACTGAAAATTCTGTATCAGGACCGCAGAAATAGCGAGAGGTGTCTAATCCAGTACGCGCTACATTTGAACCTCTCGCCATTTTGTTAATAGCAAGCTGTTTTCCATACCTTCTCGCGTTTCTGCGAGCCTGACAGCAAATCCATAATAAGGTCAAAGATGTAAGAAAATCTGGTCGAGTGAGCGCTTTCGAGACGCTAAAAATTCTGTATCAGGATCGCAGAGACGACGAGAAGTCTGCGATTTAACACGCGATATATTTGGATTTCCCGCCATTCCATTATAAGCAAATTGATCTCCCTACCTCCTCGCGTTTCTGTGATCCTGATAGCAATTTCGGACCAACTCGATTCGAAGGTCTTACAAAAGAAGTTTGTCGGAACTGTGCGCTAGTGGGGTTCTGAAAATTCTGTATCAGGATCACAGAAACAGTGAGAGGTGTTTAATCCGGTACGCGCTACAGTTGAACCTCCCGCCATTTTGTTAATGGCAAGCTCTTTTCCATTCCTTCTCGCGTTTCTGCGATCCTGATACCAAATCCATACTAACTCA